TCAACTGGCCTTAAGCAGTCCATTCTCGTATCGTTTACTCTATAAAAATCACAAACGACCCGATTCCTGTTCCTACGATTCTCTTGCGTCTCCTCCCCTCCCCATCCCCCCCCTCCCAAAATTCGTCGGAAACGTGATCAACATCGCGGAGCGGACTCTCATAATCTAAATTCCATCTCCCCGCGGCTCTTCCTGCTCCTTCACGTATTCGTAACGCGGGAAAAACGGGCCCGACCAGTCGCCACGGCCCCCGGTTCGCTTCCCCGGTGCATATGGGCCCTGCGCGACGCAGCGCAACACTCGAGCCGGGCCCCACGGCGAGCTTAACTCCGAGACCTCGGCGCGGGTCCCGGCAGTGTCCTCTTCGGCACATGTCACCGCGTCATGGCGACCGCGATTTCGGGTCCCGGCCGTGCCGTCCCCGCGCGCGCGCGCGCGCGCGCGAGCGAGCGCGAGCGAGCGTACGTGTCGCGCATCTGATACAGCCGTAACAAATGACATCGTCGAACCGGCGTACAGTCGCCGGCCGGCTATCTCTTCATCTCGCGGACCGACAGCGACCGGGCAAGTATTGCCGGGCCCGACGCCGCCGCGGGCCCCGTCGGGCCCGGGACAACACTTGGCCGGTCGACCGTCGGCCGGTCGGCGTAGGAATTGTCGCGCGGCCGTGCGCGTCGACGAACGGGCCCGGCCGGTCAGTACTTTCGCCGCGGTTTAAGGGTGGCTTAAGCGGCCCCTAGTTAGAAGACATGACGCCGGGTTATGAGCCCGACGCCGGAGCGCCTCACGGGGGGGAAGGAGAGGGGGAGGACTTTCGTTGTAACACGTGTTGCTAACCGGTTCCACCTTAATTGTCTTAAACGGGCACCATCATAATTCTGGGTTTATCTCTCGGGGCGGCAGCGCCGTGTGTCCCGGCTTGACGTCGCGACGTTCGCTCGCCCGGGCCCCGCCGACTGCACGTGATCTAATGGCGATTTCGAAATTGATGAAGCGACCCGACCGTGTGCGTGCACCCGAGAAATAAACATTACGAGGAGGGGACAACGGAGGATCGCTGTTCAATGGCAGTTGTATATATAATAATCGCGAAAGCGGAGCGACGCTCTCTCGTCGACGTCGTTATTATCATCTCTTGCCAAAAGCAACGCAAACCTCCACGGCGAAATGAAATATGATCGTCCGTGATTTATAATACAAGTGTCGACTTTTGTGTGGGCCAGCCACTTTCTCAAGACCTTCACCTCATAAATTACGCAATGATCTTTATTTCTCTTTCGTTATTATATAGTTCTGCAGCATCCTCGTAACTTCTGCGCCGTTCGTGTGTAGTTCGTCATTTTTGCAAAGAGACGTCCCAACTCGGGCGTAATTCTTATAATACGAAGAAACTTTGTTTTGGCTGTAGAAGGCCCAAGCACGGTAGAACATGATACTTGATAAGATACGAAAGGCCTGAAAAAAATCGGGACTCCGGGTTGTGTTTTTCTGACGATCGTGAAGGAAGGACCGGGGCCGAAATTAGGTTTGCGAGGCACGTTTCTTTCCCTCGTGCGCGCGGCCTGGTGCGGCCCGGCGCGGCGCGGCGCGGCGCGAAGAGAGAACGCGGCTTTCGGTTCACCGTGCGACGGTGTCAGGATGTTAACCGTGAAGTATCCATCACTGCCTTACCGAGAAACGACCAACGACCACGACGGTGTTCCGACTTCGGTGGATCAGGTTAGATAAATGTAATAGTCCATAGTTCAGCTTGCTAACAAGGCTAGCCTCCCCTAGATCCGAGATAAGAGTCCGAGCGGTCCAGCTGACTTCGGGGACCGCTCATAATGAGGCCTAGTGGAAGCCGATCGCCGATTAGGGCATTCTTCAGCGATACTTCATCAATCATCGGAATCGCCGCCGAATTCGTTATGCGAAATCGGCGCGTCCAATATTTACGACAATTTCATAAAGCGAGATATATCAGCGGCGATCGCTTCACCGTTAAACATTGAAAGAGAGAGAGGGAGAGAAAATTATGGAGAATCGTTTTTACAAATTTTTACGACACCAGAGAGAATCAATCTTTTTATAATTTCAATACAAAAAGAGACGGCGCATACTTATACCTTGATAATCATTATAAATTTTGATGACGCCAAGATTTGACCTAGAAAGCAGCGAGTTATCGATATAAACGACACGTTTTGAACGATTTGTCGCGCTAACTTGATAAATATCACAAACAAAATGACTGTATTAATCATCGCAGGGTAATTTCAGCGGGACGTCGCGGATCGAGCGGCATTAATTTACGTCCGAAAATAATCTGTTAACCGCGAGCCCCGCTCTCTTTCGATTAATAATACCGATAACATTATTACCAGTCGTCCATCGTGCATATAAAGTGTTTCAGACTTTGAATTGAATGTTCCTTAAAACGATATATCATCGGTCAATTTAGAGTTGATTTTTGTTTAACGAAGATCATTTTTTAATTTTAGATATTTTTGTATAACAATGAATGAAATTGAAATTTTAAAAAAGATTGAAACTAGAAATTAATTAACACATATTATTATGCTATATCTAGCATACCGAAACTTAATTTGCAAGAAGCATTTTATTTTTCATTGATCATTATCTGAAAGCTATGTCTTGATTATATTTTTATTTAAGAAACATCCATCTCAAATTAGTTAATGCGATGAAAAGAACATTCAGAACACTCGGTATGCATCTCGTTCGCTTAAAGACCGGATCTTTCTCAGATATTAACGGCCCGTCTCTTTTGCAACGTAACGAGGCTCACAAGATGTATCAACACAGTTCTCTCTCTTTTTCTCCTCTCTCTCTCTCTCTCTCTCTCACTCTCTTTCTTCCCACGTGTTGATTAAGTTGAAATTTATTATTAAACCATGCCGATATGTGTTCCCGCGCACAACTTTACGACGAGGGACTTTAATTTCCTGAGGAACGCACATTAATCATTTATCGGTGATTAACTCGTAGAGCTGCCGATAAAACCGAGAATGGTTCCCGATATTGTATGCAACGACCGGCGAAAAGTCGAATGGAAACTTTTAAATGTTTCTCGTTGCAAGAGAACTGAGCACTATTTGTTTAAGCCCATTTTAAACGATCTACAATTTGCGTTAAATTTCACGATAAAATTTTACAACATGTATACTGATTTTATACTATATAATCCAAAATTATTTGAAGAAATACATATGTGTACGTATACATATATGTGTACATATATAAAATACATTAAAATATACATAAAAATAATGGCATATGAAATTATAAAAGTTAACGGAATAAATATAAAATAAGTAAGAAGGAGTAAGGAGTGGGTAAGAAGGAGGTTGGATGCTAGTTTAAGAAAAATATTTCTTTTACATAGAAAAGATTCAGGGAGAATGCCAGAGGGTTCAGGGGATTAGGTAGGAGGGGGGTGAAATATAATAAAATTTAATTTTTATTTAAAAATGTATTGAATTGGTGAAGATATAGATAAATTTTGGTGAGGTTATGGAGGAATTTAAAAAATTACATAAGGTGGAAGGAAGATAATATATAGAATGTTAAAATTAATAGAGGTTAAAAAAAGTTATTAAGATAGTCTAGAAGAATGAGAAATTTTTTTTTATAAATTATGATTCGTTATTGATTCCACGATTTACAAATATCTCAATTTGCAGATAAGTAACTGCAATTCCATCTATCTAACTCGTTCTATACTGTTCTATAGCTACAACACTTATCGAGATGGCGTTAGCGCACGGAGAATTTTTTTCTCGAGCCAACTAATATAAATATTTAATAATTTTTCTAAGCTTTAAATTTGAAAGCTTCATAAAATGAAAATAATTCGATTTGATTACAATAAAATTTATTATAATATAGTATAATTAGATTTTTGGTAATGTACCTTATTATTGAGGTAGAAAAAGCTATAAAAAAAAAGAAAGTAACAATTTATATTTATATTCTGCTCCTTCGCTCTTTCTTTGTTATTACTCTTGCTTCCAATTAAATCAGATTGGCAAAATTGGTGAATCGATTTCAATCGGATTAATGCATCAGAAATTTCCGATGTTTTCCGATTCATTTTTCAAATCGTAATAAAGACGCAATAGGATTTTATCGGCATATATGGGTATAAAAAAGTTTTCGGACCGGTTACGGTTTCGGTTTATTGGCCTGCATCATATTTCGGTCCGATTTTCGATTTCGATTCGGCTAATAAATTATTGATTTTAGTTTTCAATCTGGTCCGTGTTATCAAATAACTTTAAGTATAATTTTGTTAATAAGAATAGGATTATTAATTTGTTCTTTGTCATTCAATAAATGGAAAGAAAACTAGAGATAATGAATTAAATAATCAGAATTAAATTCACTGTACATCAATTATTGAATTGATCAATGATTAAGTAATTCGGAATTCGAAATCGCTCTTAAAACAGTGTGACAATTATAATACAATTAATTATAAAACATACCATTTAATTGTTGTCCCATTGCACTTTCGATGCATTTCGCCGAAAAATGTGTGGAGACGATCTCATGGTGATCCGCACAATTAAAGAAATCGCCGTGATATCGAAATGACGCGATATCACAATGATATTTGCGCGCGCGCGAGAATCACTTAATTTTTAGGAAATATAACAAGCGAAAAAAAGAACAGGCGATTCGAGTATGAGCTGCGACACGTTTCGCGACTGACAACGAGACGAGAAAACGAGAGTTATTTCGGCTGAACTCTAGTTAATTTAATGCTAATCAGTTCTGTCAAATTTTTATACCTCATCGTCCTTATAATAGTTCCTAATCTTTTTTTCTGTCTATCAAAAGTTAATAATCTTATGCATGTCAACAAAATAGGTCAGATATACCTAGTATATATATACGTATTACTTGACAAGCTGATCGCCAAGTCGACTGAAGCTAGTCGAAGTGCGAGCTTTACAATTCTCGAAGTATCGAAACGTAGCGTTGTTCACAGTCACGTGACGCGATTCTTCGCAGCTGTCTCAACTTTCGTAGCAGCGATGCCAACCTAACAGACACGTGCTTAATATCATAACCTCATACCATAAACCTGTCACAGAACTTATCAAAATATAAATTTAGTATTTCGAAAACAAATAACAAATTTTTATTCGTATTTATGTCTCTCGGATTTCTATCTCTGCGTGTTATTTCTGCACAACAGATTAATGTTTTTCATAGACAAAATTTTCATTGATAAATTTTAGATTATCGGTAAAGGTATATCACGGAATGCGAAAATAATGACCGAACGGGAGGAACCTATCGTCTGCGTGCCCGGTAATTATTCGTCCAATTTTCCACGATTCCTCGATTCGACAGCTTTGCAAGCGCATTAAACCAATAATTTTTTTTTCAAGGCCAAAGATTGTGCGTAGCCGATAAAAACAATGTAGCCGGAGCCGGGACGTACGAGCAGCAGGGCTACATCTATTCGAAGCTCGCCGGCACCGTGAAATTAGTGACAAACGACAAAGTAAGCCCTTTACATTTCTGTACTTATAGCGTTACAGAGATGTCCCTATAAACACACGTTGCGTTACAGATTCGTACGGTGGAGGTACACGGTGTAACGGAGCAGAGCATCGTTCCTGCGCCAGGAGACGTCGTGACAGCCATGATCACTGTGGTCAATCAGAGATTTTGCAAATGCAGCATCAAGTGCGTGGGTGACATAGTACTGACGAGACCTTACAAAGGAATACTGAGGAAGGAGGACGTGCGATCGATTGACAAGGACAAAATGGAGATGTACAAGTGCTATCGGCCTGGCGACATTATTCTCGCGAGAGTTGTATCCTTTGGCTTCGCTCTGTGAAACAATACTTTTCCAAGGATTACACGTCTAAGTAATTTTTCCTATGCCTCTCGACAGATGCCAATGACGGAGATACACACCTACCAATTGAGCACCGCGGAAAACGAGCTGGGAGTAGTTATAGCTCACAGCGACGAAGGTAAAGGCTCGGCGTATCCTCTCCTCCCTTTTTTTTGTCGTCTTGCCTCAACTTGTCGTCTTACAGGTGTTGCCATGGTACCGATCAGCTGGACCCAAATGCAGTGCCCGAAATCCTTGTGCAAGGAATTTCGTAAAGTTGCTAAAGTCGTACCAGAACACATCGTGGTGGATCAGGCTGAGTAAATAAGTTATAAGCAATCAGCCTCTTTCAATTGTATAATATATTTAAATCATTATACAATTTTTATGTAAAAAGTTTATACAAGTGAACGTAATTTTATATAATGATACCCTATTAAAGGTAAAAATCAATTTGAAGCAGCAAGTAAAGATTCGGAGTTTCCAAGTATTTCATTATTTGAATTCCTCTTCCTGTTTTTGTTCTTTTATTTAATATTTGATCCATATTATATATATATATATATATATGTTATATATTTTTTTTATCCACTTTTCCACTTTCTCTTCCACGTTGGACTGTGTTCAAATTTCCCACCCTGGGTACACCCTGGTGGCGTTCAATGACAATGGATGGCAGCACTGTCAGTGTTTTAATGTTTAATGTAAATATTTATTGTGTTCACGAGTGTCTTTTATTCCCGTTTAAGTATCTCTTACATTATCTTACATTATCTGTTGTCATTTGATGAAGTAGTGATACAAGTAAGCAAAAATGGCAGAAGCGTCATTTTTGAAGCCATCAGACACTGAATCGCTGAATTACACTCAGGGTGAGTGCCTTGCGATTTATGAGGTTAGGTACTCGATCCGCGTGTGTACACAATAAATATAAATAAATAAAAAAGCGCATTTATGATATCTCATAATTATTACTGAAATTCAATTAATGCAAATAGGGAATTATTACCAAATAAATATGACGTTGATTTTACCTAATTGTTGCGTTATTATTTATACAATTATTGCATACTGCAGTTATTAAGCAAAATTAATCATGCTCTACACAAAATAAATGTTGAAACGAGGCTTAAACGGTTTGTGCAGAAATTCGGCAGATGATGCACGGCTTTGGCGACAGCAGCGAACCGTTGTTTGAATCCGCAAAGATCATAGAGGACGTCGTGCTGCAGCAGATGAAAGCAATTGTCAGAAGGGCTTGCGAAATCGCGGACAGACGAGCCGGTTCGAAGAGGAGCAATGTCATCAACGGAGAGGACCTTCTCTTTCTGCTGCGTAAAGACAAGGCCAAGCTTCAACGCATTGTGAGATATCTTGGTAAGTATGCGGCAACGTTTCTTCAATCGAGCGTGCTGTTATTCCCTGCTTACAAGCGAAACCTCTTCTTTCAAGAACTCAAAGAATTAGGATGCTCGGTACAGAAACTCATGGTCGCCGATACGCCGCAAAATATAACGGATCCCGAACAGGTGGATGGTGCCAAAAAGAAACCGTTCCAGAATTTTCTGGAACAGATTGACAACACGGGTGAACTTATGGAGCAGTCGTCTTCCATGGACGACGTTAAGCGACGTAGATGCATTCGCGTGGACATCGCGTCGAGGTCCATGGACGAGGTGCATTATATGAAATTCAGCAAGGCGCGTCGTGTGTCCTTCGCGAACAAGAATCGTCACAAATTCAGCGATTGGATTTGCCTGGATGGTATTACCTCGATAATATGCAAATCCTACACTTTTTTGGCTGCGTTCGCTTTGGCGCTTACAACACTCGTGAGCATCATTTGTCCTCCTTGTCGTTTAACATTTGATAAACAGCAAGGATGAAGTGATGCTGTGAATGCTTTAAGCACCAAAGCGAATGCAGCTTTATCTTTTTTTTAATTATATCAATCATATTTATTTTATCAATTTTATTTACTTAATTATAGGCGACGTTACCTTGTCGAAGCGAGCGTACACAATTTTATCTTACCTGGCGTATGAAACGGTTGCTCAAATTGTCGATCTCGCCTTCTTGGTCCGGCAAGATCAAGGTAAAATGCACGGCGACGCCATAGACCGGCAACGACTGAATTATGTTAATCCATTTACATTCAAGCCGCGCTATCATAGTAAGGTACGTATTATAAGTAGTTGTTAAAAAATTGAACTGACACAGAGCGATGTGATACACATGTTTGTTTCCCTTTGTAGAATTTCGTAATGAAACCGCTGACTCCTTCGGAGATAACTGAGGCCCTTAGGAGGTATTGGTCCCCACAGCTAGATATGACGGGGCCGTTTAATAGATGGTCCATGAGAAGACCACACTTGAAACTCCTTTCATGTTAGATATAGAGATCTGAAGAAGGTAAGAAGCTTAATATAACTTTAATCGCTTTGAATAGAAAAAGCAAAACAGGGTGAATAATCGATTTTATGATTTATCAGTCGAAATTATTTATTTACACAGAGTCAGGATATGATACACAACATGTGCAACGCTAAAATTGACTCTTATTTATTGACATTTTCTCTTGTACATATGTTTTTATTAATTTTCCTAAATTAAGAATTTTACACACGAGACCTATTGTTCTTTTTTTTTATCGTTTTCTTTTTATTAAAAAACGAGTAAAATTATCACGTACAATAATTGTAGAGATATTATGATCCTCCTTTTAAAATAATACAATATTCTCTGTACATTTTACATTTGGTAGTCCCTGATTTTCAAAAGATAAAAGACGGTTATTATATTACTATTTGTAATTACTGCCAGAGTGATATATTGTACTTTTCATAAAATATTCGAATCTTTTTTACACAAATCACCAATGGTTTGGCGATACAGTATAATGTCTTAAAATGCACTTATTCTACAGTCGCTTAACACAGTGAATAAAATAATATCTACAAGATCCTCGACTAATATCATCAGTAACTGTTTTCGTCTTACTTCGACTAATATCATCAGTAGCTATTTTTGCCTTACGAATTTACACATATGCTAATTTTGTTTCTATATCATGGTGAGAGTAGCGTTGACACTCGTGCTTTTCCTTCTGCACCCCCGGTTATGCAAGTTCCCGATTGATTGGCAGTCGACCAGTCGCAGCATAGGGTACCCTTATGTCCGCCTAGCTCTAGTATCTTTCCCTGCGCGCCTGGTGGCATCTGACAAGACAGAAAAGTTCGCGTGTATATGTACCAGAATAAGTACTTAAATATCACACCCAATCGATAGGGTACAATAGAATAATTTGAATAATAGTAAGCAAGAATTTCAGAAAAAAATAGATTTTAAGATACATTGTTTAATTTTATTTTAATTTTATGATTTTTATATCATTTCTTTTTGTTTGTTTTAACGAAGCTTTTTCTTTTAATAATAATGACTACGCCTTTCTAAATAATTCATATGTCTCTTTAAATATAACAATTTTATCATCTTACAGTTTTTTTTTCTTTTTAATTTTTTTCTATCGGCAATACTAAGTCCTTTTTAAAACCAAATAATTTCTTTTTAAAAATACCTACTAAATTTATAATTTTTAATGTTTCTTCTCTTTTTGATTTTGATCAAGTTTCGTTGTTTTAAAATGATAATTTATTCCTCTTTCTTTTTGCAATAATGTGAAATGTATCTGTGTAATCTGTATAATGTGTGCATGAAATGCATCTTAAAATCTCTTATTTTTCTGAAATTCTTGCAAATGCCTACTATTATCCAAATTACCTCGCTATTCAAATTACCCCACTGTACCCCCCCCCCCTCCTTCTTATCAAGCATATATTTGTATAAAATATATCCTCCATATAAGTGTACCTTATATATATTTCCTCCAGTTTGCGTGCAGAGTAACATATAATTGCCGCTCTGATCGAAGGTAAACAACTTTCCGTGAACGGGGTTCTTCTCGATCTTAATCTTGGTCTCCCACAAGATCTTCCCGAAGTGATTCAGGCTCCTCTGGCACAGCTTGCCGTCCTCGCTCTGCGCGCAAATATTCGTAAAATCGTTAATTAACTCTATGTCGATTATCGGGCTAGAGTGGCAGTTGAGATTGTCTATTATCTCGTTTCGCCTCAGATCGTGTATCAGTATATTGCCATTGGACAATCCCGTGATAAGTAATTGGCCGTTGTGATTGAACGCGGAGCATAAAGCGGTGACGTTCTGCTCCAGCGGCAACGTTCTCTCGAGCTTCCGCGTCTTTATATCGTACAGCAGCAGCTTGCCCTCGTTGCCGTCCGACACGGAGCAGACGAACGTCGATTCCGTTGGATTGCAGATCAAAGTGACGATCCGCGAATTCTCGTGCTGGATATCCCAGAGCGTTTTGCAGTCTCGCGTGTCGTGCAGCTGGATTAAACCGTTATTGTCGCCGTGCAGGAAATAGCGTTCGTTCTTCGAGATCCAGTCCAGCGAGGTGATAGCTTTGTTCGAATTCGCCGTGGCGGAAGTGAACGTAGTAACAGTCCTGTCAATACGAATGTAGACAAGTATTACGTATTACTGTGATGCTATCATTGAAGCGTCTACAATAAGACTTAAGACTTAGGATTTAAAAAGAAACTTACCAATCATAGTCGATTATTCGTCTCACGTGAGAAGAATAATCGATTGTGATTGGTCAATTTTCTTAAATCTTAAGTCTTAAATCTCATTGTAGACGACGCTTGACAGGCAAAGGTATGAGGAATTTTTTTTCTTACTTTGGTGAAGGAATCGGTGTCCACACTTTGATGACACCGTCGGCGTCGCCCGTCGCGACGTACGAGCCGCTCGCGTTACTCTTGCACTGAATTATGGAGGTTTTATGCTCTGTATACTCCTCCTGTGAACATTACACGTATTTGTAAGAAAGATGATAATTAATCAACAATTCAGATAATTAACAGTCAAAATTTTCCGAGATTAGTAGTTTTTTTTTCACCTGACTTAAGAGAATATAACTAGAATCTATTTTTTCCTTAGTTTTCCTGTCGATAGCGGTGTCGATAGAGGAGTCTCTTTTCCTAGAACTATTTAATCTTGAATCACAGCTGATGCTCCTCTTGGCGACTGCCTCGGATTTGCTAATCGAATTCACCCGTCCCTTCGTGTTCGTCCGTTTGGTCGAGACCATCTCAGATTCCGCATTTTTCTTTACATTTGTTGCAGGCTTTCTGCTTAGGATCGGACTGGACCCACCGCCAATATTTCTTATGAGATTCCTCAGTGTCTTTGGATTTTCCAGTAACGGCGACTCTCTATTAATTGTAATCTCTATTTATTGTCAATAATTGAATCGTAGAACTCTTTCTTTTTTTATAAAATACAAGCGAAACGTGAACGTACTGAGCAATAATGTAAAAATCATCCATGATGGGGGGATGCTGAGGTGCCGGGCCCGGATTCACATCCGATACGCTTTCTATCTTAACGGAATCACTCAACCGTTGCCTCAGTGTTTCGTTCTCCTCTTGCAGTCGTTTTAACTTATTCGTATCTTCGTCAATCGTGAGTAATGTCGGTTGTGGCATACACTAATTGTAAGATAACGGCATATTAAATTTCTCATCATTCGTATCGTATTTCGTACCATACAGTCGCGTGTCTCTTATCTTATTATGTTACGGCACAAAATGCAGTTAAATGCGTTAAAAAATAATCATTTTTTTAATAAGTGTATTCAAATAAAATAATAAATCAAATATATTAAGGTAAAGACCTATTTCTTTTAAATTATCAAAATAATAAACTTTTCTCTAATTTTGCAGGTCGTACTACATAAATCTTTATTGTTTTCGTTTATCTGAAGAAATTGATTTTAGCTTTGCACGGTGATGGAAGTGCTTTTTTTTACTCACTTGAAAGATTGTTGCTAGGAAATTGTGTAGGGATACCAGCATGGTGTCGTGCCACTGCCTGCTAAAATGGACCGAGTAAACTGGATTGTCTTCGGGATTTTTGACAAAGGCGAAAGCTGCAATTTTTAAGCAAAGATACAGATTATAATCTTCTAGATCTGAAGTGTCATACATTCGTAAGTGAATGAGAGAAAGAGAGAGAGAGACATACCAAACCATTCCTTCCATTCCGACTGACCCTGCAGCTCTGGTGTCATTTTGGTGAAGAATTCCTGTATCTTGTCTTGCTTGCCATTCACAGCCGCGTTAACCAAGTACATTTTCAGCACGGCGTTCTCCAACTTTCTGATTGCAGGCGTAAAATGACTCTCCAGTCGGCAAAACATTCTAGTATCAAAGTGCCCCCATAATTCTCTCAGCGACGTCAGATCATAGTTGTATATGTGTTGCATTAATTGATCGACTATTTTGTCTACCTGCGCAATCAGATGTATTGTCGAATATCAAGCTACCTTCCTGAGATACCGAGATATAATAATTTTTCACTAATAACACATATAATTTATATATACAAATATTTCTATGCATATGTAACACTTCATGTATAAAGAATATAAGTACAACAGAATAGAATAAAGCAAACAGACTGATAGAACAACGACGAATGTATCGCGCAATTAGCCTGAGTCTTCGACCTTTTGATAAGGAAAAGGCATTACTTCAATACTTTTGATAAGGCATACAAATCATTTGGCTGGATATTTTGTTATTCTGCCATATAATCATCCTCACCCTAAATCCTTTTTCCTTTTCCGCTTTCAGATCATTATCGAAGGCCTTCAGGGTCTGGCTAAAACCCCTGAAGAGCAAGTACTCCTTTACCAACTCGTCCACATACTGCACGTGAGACATTTTCCCTCCAATTCCTTTGAAATGTTATTCGTTCGCACCAGTTGACAGCTGTATATTGTCATCCTTCGGCCATCTTGGTTCCCCACTGGAGGTATACAACAGCAACACTGACTTCGCCTGGACGGCTGGATGTAGGATTGCCAACAGAAAGCCTTACAGTAGAAAGGTAGGTATGTGAGAGTTTATATCGACCAATTTCTCGAGCCATCGAACAATCGAAAGAGTCTGTTTAAAGAGAAAGTAATTATTGCAAAAGGAAAGAGTTATAAATCATTATTTTAAGAAAACGAAACTTGATCAAAATCTAAAAGAGAAGGAACATTAAAAATGATAAATTTAGTAGGTATTTTTAAAAAGAAATTAATTAGTTTTAAAAAGGACTTAGTATTCCTGTCTGCCGATAGAAAAGAATTAAAAAGAAAAAGAAAAAAAAACAAACTACAAGATGATAAAATTATTATATTTAAAGAGAAATATAAATTATTTAAAAAAGCATAGTTATTATTATTAAAAGAAGAAGCTTATTATAAACAAAAAGAAAAGAACTGATGTAAAAATCACAAAATTAAAATAAAATTATTAATTCTTATAATGAGTTAGTGTAAATATCAGTCTAATTGTATTGTTTTAAACGTTTATTGGTAGGTAAATTCGATAAACGATAATTACAATAGTATCAATATCTTATTACAGTGATTTATACACTTAGCTCTCATAATTTACATGGATTTAATTTTCAACGAGTAGTAAAATGACGAAAATACTATACATATTATTCATTAAACCACTTTATCGCATTTTTTTTTTAACATAGAAGAAAAATAATATTCAAGTAGCGAAGTGTATGAGTGTGTGTTTTGATTGTAGATTGAACTGTATCACACACAAGAATCTTTGCCATATAATTATTGTAAAAGTTTAACAAATAATCTCATCTTTGAAAAGGCACGAGTGTTTTTGTCTCCATCGCGAAAATCGGAACTCTCCCGTCAGGTTTTGTATCCCTTCATTATATTACAATTACATTCTATAACGATTAGAGCATTCATAGCAATTACGAAAAGAGAAATTTAAAGAACAATTTAATCTATAAAATTTCGAATTTTCAATTTTTTAAAAATTAACGCAAAGAATTTTAAATTTCTTTGCAGATATTAATTTAAAAATTAGTTCTATCAATTTTATATACGCACATGCAATAAATTTCCGTATATTTTTTAAAATAAATTTTTTTACTTATTTCTTATTTAGTTTTCTTTACGTCGATGAGATGTCACTTAAAAAGCAATCGCCGCGTAAATTGCATAAATTAAATGTGCTTTTTACAAAAAGACTATTATATTACCGTAACTTTCTTTCACAATCCCAACGGGAAAATCGTCGACATCATAACTTATCGCAAATAAACGATTAAAATTCAGGCCTTGAAGTAAATTGTCTTGCGAATTTCGTATCGCGCGACGTACAAAAATCAACTCAGAAGGAGAATAATCACAAAATCACACGAACTCTGTAGAATATACAAAATATCCATTTTTTTCCTTATATTTATTGTCAATAGACACTAGACTAGTAGACTACGAAAAATAAATCGCGAGACGTATTGTTACCCGCGAACATTTGGCAAGAGCAGCTGCGGAGTAGCGATAGTTCCTTTGTTTTCGATGTACTATTTTGACAAAAATAGATCCTCGCAATTCGTCGTAATTATAGATTATCACTGGAGATATCGCTATAACAGACATTTTAATTTGTCGTAGATTGCGCTAATTCGCCAATAGTTTCGTGGAATATATGATTATAAAAAATAGGAAAAAATGTGGCATACATTTTTTGTTTTATATTTATATTTGTACAACTGTCATAATCATAAAATTCCATATTTATAAAAATTCTATAAATATATCACGGAATTTTGTAAATATTTTTAAAAATTTTAAAGTTTTTTCTCATAAATTTTTTAATTCATGTTTAAAATTACAAAAATAAAATTACAAGGAACAGTTGCTATTCCACTGCACTATTGACGCGACTTTTCAAGCCTTTCTCTCAAAAATTGTCATAAACCCGATCTACAAGATTCTCGTCTGACAAAACGCGATACGATTATAACAATTGTGCATATTGTTCCGAATAAATTCGTCTCGATGCATTAGATTGTGCATAATCGTTTTTACACGCGAATTTCGTTCGTCGAGAGCTCCATCTCTTCGATCACACTCGCTCGATCACGCGCGATTAAATCTCCAGTTTTCATAAAATCACTATTCTATATCTCTTCGCGCGTCTCGGAAAATACATATGTACACACAGTCGAGAAAATCGCGTTCACTCGATTGCGATTTCAACGATATAAACGGACGTGTAGTGTACCAGTACTTTGAAGATTCCATTGCGCCGCCGAGACGATCGGGACCGTCTTTGCGTCGACAGAGAGGGAGAGAGAGAGAGAGAGAGGAACTTGGATATCCAAAATTGAACTTAAAAGTATTGAGTCCCGTGAGATTAATTGGACCTGATCAAAATTCACAACGCACACAAATTCAATTACGAAAAGCGTTCAAGATTCCCGAGTTAATTGTCTTCGCCGCACTTCTTCTGCAAGTCTCAAGTATAAAAAGACGGTCCCGACAGCGATTGTCCTTCGAAGCTCGATTGCGTGCGTGCCGCGATGATTACCGCGTATCATCATTGCGTTGCATAAGCCAACAGACGAGTATTCTCTTAAAACCGGATAAAAAGAGAAAAAAAGAGGAAGAGAGAGAAAGACAGAGAGAGACGGATCTCGCGTATTCCGAGAAATTAGCTCAAACAAGCGCTCGATCGAGACGCGTAGGAGTTTCTCCTGAAAGAAATGCATCTACAGGTCGACGTCCTCTTGCTTGGCTTTAGGCGCAATCTTCTCGCCGCTGTCAGACTCCTTCGCGCTCGTGTGGACATCCGCGACCTCGACCGGTGGCGGCGGCGCCGGTTTCACCGAGTTGTCATCCTCAGCGACCTCGAAACCGATCGTGGCTCCGATCTTCTGACTCGCTTGCTTGAATGAATCCGATAACATCACCTGGCGACACGCATTAAGCAGATTAATTCGATGGGATTTAATGAGCATTATTTTTCCACGTACTTTCGCATCATCGGCTTTAATTCTTGATCATTGAGATTCGATAAAATTATTATTTTTTTGTAAATAGACAAATATATATATATATTTTTTTTACAGTCCTTAACTATCATACAATTATAATTAAATTTTATTCACTGTCATCAATATTTTAATATTTTTTCTCATCCTTATGGATATGTAGGATAACTTTTACATAAATTTCAATAATAAGAGATGCCAAACAGAATGTCTTTAACTAACAACAATAATGTCAAAATACTTCGCATCTAGCATAAAATATTTCTTATATATATGTATATGATTGAAATTTATTATTGAAATTTATATAAAAGTTGTCCTATATATCTATATAAGGATGAGAAAAAATATTAAAATATTGATAACAGTGAATAAGGTTTAATTATAATTGTATGATAATTAAGGACTGTGAAATCATGTGAAAAATATAATTATATTGTTTTACATAACTACAACAATAATTACAAAATCGGTAAGATTTTAAGAAGATTGTAGTGCGTTCCATACTCACACATGTATTTTCTGTAATTAGAAATTTTCTTTAATAAAAAAATTAAAAAAATAAATAAATAAAACGTTATAAAAATAATAATTAACTCGTTTATAGAATGCTTAAAAATCAAATTAAGATCGATACTGCAGATAGAATCGTAGATGTCTATTATAACTAATGTTTAGCTACTGTTAAACTAGATTCAATTAGAAACTATTATAATTATACGTTACGACATAATTATAAGGAATATAATTATGTCATCGCACGGATATTAGCGACTTTATTATTTGTATTAATCTTGATTGGATTTATTATTAATTGTTTAAAGAAGAATTGTTATCGCTCACCTGCACGACGTTGATGCACATGGATGTGAGCGCCAGGCCAAACACCAGATATACTATCGAACACACCATGTATATGGGATTCTAAATCAATTAATGAATTCATTAAGTTCTGCGAATCGTGAATCTCACAGTATTTGTAACTTCATTGACTAAGATTTTACTTCATTAATTAACGGAATGATTTACGAGAAGAAAATAAGCTTGTGAAAAATAATGTACATATATGTATACGGTGATATATAGCTTTTCGTTGCGAGAGACCTTACATGTGAAAAGGCTTACCATCTGAGCGCCACCGTGAAAAAAAGAAACATGAGAATAAATTAATTGTTTGCCGTACAAGATGGAAATTCTATCGTGAGATCGCAAATAAAATTCGAGAGGCGAATTCAAAGAGGCGCTAAGGACAAATCAAACGGAATTTTCGCGGACCTAACATAACATAGTCATAGCGAATGATAAATAATTGAGAATGCTACTTAGATAAATATGCTAATTATAACCTTCCGTTAATTCCACTTAAGTAACTCTCAACTGATCAATATTTCAAAATTTCGTGCGACTTACATCGACCACTCTGTCAAAGTCGATGAAGAAATCACATTACAAATTTTTATCTATGAATTTACGAAGAGTGTTATTATTATTTGTTAAATTATTTGATTCGACTGAATGACGATTCGATCTGAAGATAATCACCTCTGGCACGTAATCACCGAAGCCGATAGTGCTCATGGAGATGAAGACGAAGTAGAAGCTCTCGAAAAAGCCCCATTCCTCCCACAGGTAGTACAGGGTGGCTCCTATGAAGATATAAGCCAGGAGTATAACGATCGCCACCGAAATCGGTAGATTGAACTCGTCATCGATGGCGAACGCTGATAATGCCGGCGTACCCGGCGTGTCCGGCGCGTTGGCGTCCACATTTAGGACCGTCTGCGGCTGCTGGACCTGCAGCTTCTGCATTTCCTCGATCTCCTCCGGATTCATTTGCGAGGGTCGCCGGAACTTGGCGAAATCGTAGACGAGTTGCACGCCCTTCATAACTTCCTGCGAACAGTGAACAAAATGAAATTATTAATCGACTCGATTAATGGAGCAATTGATCGATCGAAGACAAAGAAGTAATCAAAAATAGAATGCAAAAGATGTACTAAAAATGCACAGTATTAGAAACTGAAAATATTGTGAAAAATTCTGAAAACTCAAAAGTTGAGTAATTAATTTTAATTTTTTTTTCTTTAACTGATAATCCTTTTCTGAGAGTGCTCGGATTGTCTTACCTGAACGGGTCCAGTGCGACGGACTTTGCGGCAGCTACCAGTATAGTACAGCCTCCTCACAAATGCCCACAGGAACTTTATACCGCGTGTAAATAATTTACCAAAGTCGGCCAAAATGATGAGAAATATCGGGATGCCGAAAATGGCGTACACTATCGTGATGGCCCTTCCTGTGTTTGTACTTGGCGCAATATGTCCATATCCTGCAAAAATTATTCAACTCATTAGTTCCATTTATCAGTTATAATATGGTACTACATTTATATATTTATGCTATCTTTATTCTGATAAATTAACTGAAAAATTGCCATATTAAAACTTATATTTATAACATAATATTTTCATTTATATTACATTTATTTATATATAGTATATTTTTATATATAATGTGTAATAAATTACAGAGTTTGTTTAATATTATTTGAGTAATTATGTATAATAAAATTATATAATAAAATCATACATAATTTTATATCATATACAATATAATTATATATATAATAAAAAATATAAACATATGGTACATTGCATATTATATTATTTTATTATAAAAATATAATTATCATATTGCCAAATTTAACTGTACGACTCATACATGGAACGAAATCGTAATAGACATAGTTTATTTTGTTTGCGCGGTCTCTGAATCGTCGCTGCAAAAGTGGACGTTTACGCACGTCGCGAGTAAAGTCTAAGTTTAGATTATTCAACGGAGCTACGGTTGTTTTCTCGTAAACTGGCTGCAATTACTTTGGCTCGTATGATTGAGGAAATGTAATCGAACATTCGATCAATGTCATATAACTTAAATTTAAATGTCAGTCAAATGTATTTTTTTCTGCGAGTTTATTATCTAATCTCCCTTTCTTCCTTTCTCCCTCCCCCCCCCCCCCGTGTTTATTGTAAACGTTGCATAATACGAGTCAACGACGCCGAACTTCCGAAGCATTTTTGCCCATGCTCCAAATTTATACGTTTTGGCGATTGAATCGATATAAATAATAGATACCAAACTATTCAAACAGAATTTAAAACATAATATTTAAAAAAATATCGTAAATTTGTTAATGAATTTTTTAAGTAAATTTGAATTTTATAAAATAACTAAGTACAATTAAAAAAAGTTACTTAAGACGTACATATGCTTTGACTTTTTAAAATTAATTTTAATTTCGCTAACAGTACATTCTCTTAATCAGTATTTCTCTTAATGCTTTGTATGTAGACACCGTCAGAATTTCATTGTGTTTATATCAGAAAATCAATACGACATGCATAAATCATTTTATGTCAAATTCAGGAAACTTCATGAGTTTTTACAACACATCTAGTTATCTAACATATAATGGATAGTTGTCTTAATTTTGCATGTCACTGTTATACTAAATAAATTACATTGACGATATAATGCTAATTTATCTTTTCGTAGTAATCGAGACATTAAACTGTCAACAATTTTAAGACTAGCTATGTACAATAATGATTTAATAGTATGATATAGAATATATCTCAATGTAAGATAAGAGGAGAGAGAGAGAGAGAAAGAGAGAGAGAGAGAGACAGAATTTTAATCCAAAAGAAAATACGAGAAAATGTTTTAAGTTCATTTGATTTGAAATACGAGAAAAAACTTATTGTTAGATAAATATTACAAGTATTTTGAGAAATGTGATTTTGATAATTCCTCTTTTTTTCTTTATTTAATGTAAAAATTTTTCAGATTTATTTAAATATTTCAAATTTTATTAATGTTAATTCTAATAATGCAATTCTTAATGTATACTTTGCCATTAATTATAAAAAAAGATAAAGAACATAGAAGATATTTTATATATACGCATATAGTGCTAAAAACTGCTTCAATTCGAAAAAGCTATTTCATCACGAGGTTTTTCTAAAAAGCACTTTGGATATTTTCAAGATTGTTGTGCCAAAAAATAGAAGAAGGCTACTAGAAGACGAGCTCTTTACACCAGGAAAATTATTCCCACCTTGAGCCTCCCTAAGACAACGTTTCTCAACAATTCTCACCGATAGTGGTGATGACAGTGAGACAATACACGACCGCATTCAAGAAAGTCCAACTTTTTTGACCGCTGTACGTGTGCAAGCCGGCTTCGTGAGCTGTGTGAAGCTGTTCCTCAAACTCCATCAGCTTCCTGCGCGCCATGCTCTTCCAATCGTCCTCCCTCAAACTGTGACTGTAATTCCATAGAGTATCTAGGAAGTCGCGTTTCACGCGCTTCACGCCGCATTTGTACAATGTTTCGAAGGTGCCCTCGACGAAGCGGAAGACGAAGCCGCCGAGACCGCAGTAGATTATCGCGAGCAGCAGTCCGGCTATGCAGCGATTGCGCAGCCGCCTGATGATCGTAGTCTCACGTGGATTCTGCTCCACGAACATCTTGAATTCGCTGACGATGTCTCTGAGAGCCCGAAAGAAATCCAATAGAGTAACCTTCCCCTCATCTTCTTGTTTCTTCACTTTGACCTCCTCGACTTTCGATACGGGCTCCAGTTCGTCCTCAATATCCTTCTCTACAGTATCTTCATCCTTCTTCTTTCTGCGCCAGAAGGACAACCAGGAGAACCACGATTTTTTCTTGTCTGCTGCATCGGAAGACTGCGTTACGTTCTGAACAATGTCCTCTTGCTCACTCTCGCTATACGCCAAACTGAATTTTCGTCTTCTCAAGGAACTAACTTCAACCGTCTCTTGAAACGTGTCTTCCGGGTCGACCGGGTCCAGGATGCTGCGTTCTCTTAACATGTACTCCCTTTGAGCCTTCGCGAAATCCTCGATCAAACTTTCGTTGCTCAACGGGATGATCTGCTTCTTCATCCCGATTGAGGATCTCTTCACCATTCGCTCCTCGATAGTCCTTTGTGGAACACTCTCTGCACTCTTCTTCAGCTCCTCATCCGTGTCTTCGGTTTGACTGTAAGGTTTCGAACGTGGCGCGGAACCATCCCTCATTCGAGGCTCGTCTTCCAGCTTCTGTCGACTCGACGACCTCTTCTCTCGGTTTTGTCTCTCAGCATCCCTCTTCTGTGCTTCCGGATCACTGGTTCGACTCTTCCCGCTTGTCTTTCTCACCCTGGGTCTGACCGTTTCCGGTGACTTCGTCCGCCTGCGACTTGACTCGCTCTTTTCATCCGCATCGCTGGAGTCCGTTGACCGGCTGTATCTCTCCACGCGTTCCTTCGACTTTCTTTTAAGTCGCTTTTCGACTTTACGAATTTCAGTAGGTCTGCTGGTCTCGCCGCTCGTCTCTTTCGGGGTCTCCGACGTTTCTTGGACAACGCTATCTTTGACCACCTGAACATTATCTTTGACCGCCTGAACAGGCCTTTCAGGCCTGTTGATATCTCTCTTCGTGGTACCATCATCATGTCTCTTCGTTACTTCGACGACCTGCTTTACCGGTCGCATGCTGTTGTCGCCAGTCATTGCAACGTCAGTCTCACGTGTTTTCGAACTATTTCCAGCCACCGCTTTGGCGGCCACCTCGGCGCGTACAGCGATCATGTCATCCACATTCACAGAATTCCTCGCGTCAGTTCTGTCCTTTCTTCTGGCGGGACGCTGTTCCCGATTGTCCCTGTCCCCTTTCTTGTCCTTGTTCTCCGGTTCTTTCAAGGGCACCTCCTGCTGCAGCAGTCTGTTTTCTTTCTGTTGCTGCTCCAGTTTCTCCGCTTCCTCAGCCATCCTCTCCATTCTGGCGCGCCTCTCCTCGTCCTCATCGTCCGAAGCGTCCATACGCGCCGCGGCACCCCTCGACGAGGGATCGGGCGTCTTTTCGCGCTTCCTGGCGAACGCCTTGCGACGTCTGTGAACTATGTAACTGTCCTCCATCGCGCGACTCTTTGTCGTCGCCGTCGTCGTCGTCGTCGTCGTCGTCGTCGTCGTCGTCGTCGTCGTTCGACGGTCTTCGTGTACACGAGAGAGACTCTCGCGAAAGGAACGCACTCGCGAGGCCAGCCCCAACGAGGCCGTGACAGAAATAAAACGGAGGCTGCTCCCACCACCACCACGCGTCACCACCACCGTCGGCACGTTTGCCGCTACCAGCTACAGCGACGGAACCGGATGACCGGCTTCGCCGCGGCGGATATCGAGCGAGAGCGTCACGCGCAATCGAAACCGCAGCTTTGGCGTCGCGACGCCGCGCCTGCACCACTGCAACCCGTCTGGTAGCACCGCCCGAAGATTATACTGCACTAACCAGAATCGGGAGACCGAGGTGGCTCTCTGACCCCGTGACCTCATCAAAAATGAAAGTTTTATAATGGATTTGCCTGAAGATACACCCATTGTTTAAAAGTCGTAAATAATCTTTTAAATTTTGTAATTTGTAAATTTGTAAATTTTGTAAATTGAATAAAATATAATGAAGAATTAATGAAGAAACAAATACAAAAATAAAGAAACGAAGGAAAAAATGAGTGGAAAAATAAAAAAAAACAGATAAGAGATTACATAACGTACTTAAATAATATTAAACAAACTAGAAACTCTTTCGTAAAAAATAAATATTTTAACATATTGGCGATGTGCATAATTAATCAATTTGTTACAAAAGAATTTACAAGGATTATAAATTATATCAATTATGATTGGATAGTAAATATCTATGTAATATTGTACTCTTATAAATGATGCTTTGTAGAGTTAAACTTATAATTATATAGCATATAATTATAAGTATATATGGAAGAGCCTACGGCCTAAATTATTGTTAGCTCAATTGTAATAGCTTCGTAACTATTACAACTGTATTATTATGCTTTTGATATCTAAATGGAGCAATTAATAAGACAAAAGGCAGAATTATAATAATGTAGATTGTAGAATGATTAAATTATTAACTCAAATAATAGTGATTTAAATCAAATGGGATAATTAACTAAAATGAAGTTAGCGAAGAAAGAACATTATAAAACAGTCATTTTCATGTATTTAAATCAATACACTATTGTAAGAGAGAAACACTTTTTTTTTTATAATTTTACAAACATATAAAAAATAGATTTCAAAATAATATTATCTTGCTTTATAAAATATTGACGGCAGAGTTAATAAAATCATTATTCCAATTTAATTTTTATGCAAATATTCTTCACAAAAAATAGAAATTAAATAGAAAATGGATGTATTTAACAAGGACGTTACTGAAATAATACAAGTAAGACTCCTAAAAAAATAAAGCAAATCGAACAATTTAAACAGACTTTTTCGACTAAATATCAGTAGACATTTGTGTGACTATCTCTTGTCATTTCGTTAGCGATTCGGAGTCGAGCGTAATTTATGGACCAAAATACAATTCGGAGAAGCGTGTTTTCATCTACTAAGTTTCATCAGAACAATCACTTTCATTACTATTTCAACTTGGCATCGCAGCAATACTGTGCGACGTCCATTAATGACTATCAACATGACTATTAATAATAATCAAGATGAAACCATGAACGGAATCAGAGAGATAAGAGCTTATTGTTGATGGAAAACGTGAATTCGTATATTGTTTGTATGCAGTAAAATACTGCATATATGCACTTGCAAGTCGACAAAATTATTTTACAGAACACAAGAATATTAATTCATTCATTAATTCTAACGTTATTAATTTATTTTTTAAAATATATATTGTTCTTGTTTATTAAAAAGAATTTTTATAAATAAATATATTATAAATATAAATCATGAGAAATAAATCTATGTATATACACGTATCAATAATATATACAACAACAATATATGAGGCAATTTGGAAACATCAATTCGTATATTTGGCAACGTTTCCTCGCACGCGGATTTAATTAAAATTCGCCGGATATGAGAATGACGATTTACCATACAAACATTCGTTGACGCGATCCCATTTAATTGCCAGTCAGATATCGGCTTGCGTAAAGTGTCTCGGCAAATTTGCACGATATTTTCCATCCGATATCACAATGCGCCGCGGCTGAGTAAGCGCGCTTAATTCGGTCGAGCGAAGAAATGTCGTGACAGAGAGAGAGAGAGGATTTCTCGCGCTTCGCGTCCATTCGAGAAGTCGAAAACACGGTGACACGCTTGTCTATGTCTTCCTACGATCATCTTACCCACCGTTCTTTTCCGTTACATAACGACAGAGACACTCGAAATAGTACGCGTGGGCATAACACAAAGTCGTCGTTCAGGAAGCTGCACGCATGAATGTGCGCAGTGTTCGAATCGCCAAATTTTTCACAGTCAAGACGGCAAGAGAAATGCATGCATAAAGCATGCACGCTTATCCGTGAATGCATTTTATTACGTTTACGCGAACGTCGCAATATCTCGGAGGTGTTGACGAATTTCGAGCCGGTTCTCTCTGAATAGAATTCATCGAATTTTTTTTTTTTTAACTTTAACGTCATCCATGTATCTCACGTAGCGTTTAGACCGCATGGTCTTCTTACGCAGGTACACGCGTGCAATCAAACGCGTGTATAAATAGTGCGAATATGTCTGAATAAACACGAGGAAATCAATATTTCTAGATAATCTGTGTCGTAAGGTTCATTTCCTCATGTAAACGCAACATGTTATACTTTGAATTTTTTTTGAAATCATAAATTAAATTTGTAAACAGTTTGCGTGAAATTTTTATTTTCCACAAAAGTGAAAAGTTGTGCGAATATATGAAAAAGCAATTGCGAAAGCAGCAACTTACAACGAAATTCTTTGAACTTTCCTATCATTTTATTTTGTTATTTATATTTATCTATTTTTTATAACAATCGCCTCTGTTTTTACTGTCTCTCGTATCTTTGCGATCGTAAATCGAAATATTAGTGAAATACCATCGCCGATACATTGAAATATATCAAAGATTTTGATAGAGACTACAATGATACGCGCGCAAAACGGCGATGCGTCAGCGAATAAAACATTTCCCGGAGTTGCATATCAGTTATATATTGATCATGCGTACGTATCAATTTTTGCGCAAGAGAGCGAAAATTGCTCGGAGCACTTAGGAAACTGGGTCATATACGTTGTGCATCATAGTAAAGTTAAAAGTGTGAATTTTTCGTGTAAAAATCTGCAATAGAACTTTATTTTATCACGCTTTATCACATTTTGCTATGGGAAGGCGCATTAAATTGTCAATAAATAATTTGTAAACGGATAAATTGTAACATAGTAAATATTTGTAAAATATATATCGACCAATATACCTAGTAATGATAGTTAAATACAACTATCATTCTATTTTCCTTTTCAAATAGCTCATTGTCGTAATATGTTCGTAATATCGTAAGTAATCGAATGTTTGACAAATTAGGGAAATAGGACTCTGGTCGAATCACAAATAAGGGCAATTATTCCATTTCTAATATTCATAAAATATTACTGCACGGAAAGAAGAGCTTTCCATTAATGAGATTTCCATCGATAACATAATGATATTATTTCTCCTATACAAGGAATAAATTCGTATCATTTGCCACCAACACATCTCCATTCAGATCGCATTCATCTGTATTACCAGAAGTCTGCACAACCCATATAAACCTGCATGCCAAATTGCCAAGCAATATGCAAGAACTGAACTCGAAATCAGTCGCATCATGCACGCGGCATATTGATACACATACATTCTAACGCAATACGCGTATCTCCCGCTGCGTTTATCTCTCTGCGGGCTTTCGATCTCTCGCTCGAAGAGAAAACTGTGCAAAATAAATAAACCAAATCGCATCAAGCCGTACAAATAAAAATAACTGCCGCGAGTTTCACGGAAACGGGGGATGGACGTGAATTGAGACACCGTCCCGATGTTTTGTCAGAATCAAAGCGTTTTGTCCTAATAATGGAGCCTCTTAAGACACCCAGCTCTTCTGCTCTTGACGTGTACGGAAATATGTCTCGCACGAAAATCGCTCTATTTCCAGATACGCGTACATCACGCAAGTAGCACCACTTCATCATTCTTTTTGCCCGCTTCTTTTCTCAAAGAAAATAAACATTTTCATGTGTTGAGTATATTTTTAAAAAAAGCGTGAAAACGAATTCTTCGTTCGATACGAAAATAATATTATTGATATACAAGTGCAATACCAGATAGATTGTCATACAAGTGCAATACCAGAATTTTTTATTAATTTAGAAATTGAGGAACTACATTTGTAAATTTTAAGGAGCTATGTCTTGTAAAATTTTATGTCGCGTTAATTGTGCTAAGATCAGAGACGCTGAAAGTATTGCGGAGGAGCGATTATCGAACGCGAGATGTCGTGGCTAGAGATATTGTACTCACCTATGGTTGTGTAAATGGTGCCGCAGTAGAACACGGCATTCCAAAATGTCCACACATGGTGGCCCTTGTCCATTAATTTCCGGCCGTAATATTCGTACAGGTCTTTTTCGAATTGCGTCAGCTCGTACACCGCTGCTCCTCTCCAGCGGGACAAGTCTGACGCCAACACCGAGTCGTCACATAATCCGCGAATCGTCTCGAGCGTATCATTTCTACAATCGATAGAAAACATTTATGTCAAATATTCGTGGAAATTCAGGCTAAAATTTGATTTAAATATTGGAAATTATTACAAACATCCAACTGCAAAAATATAAGTACAAATTGGCTAATTTTCTTCTTATATTCCGCGTTTCAGTAAAAGCTATGTTCAATATTGGATCAATTTAATACTCGCATTATTTTATTTTCTTATCCTTTGACTGCACTACTTGCTACTAGGAATATGTTATTCGTAACTCTACCCACACAGCACGAAGTCGACTGTCAGTCGGCAGAAAAAGTCTAAAGTCGACTTCAAAGTCAGACTAAGGGCTCCTGCACACTGGACGCGGAAATGCTTGCCGCGCGGCAAAATGCGACGCAGTAGCCAATAAACTTACAGCTCCTAAAGAAAGATGACACTTCTATTGGCTACCGCGTTGTGTCTTGCCGCGCGGCAAGCGTTTCCGCGTCCAGTGTGCAGGTAC